AATACCATAATAAGCGGCAGATTGCACGCACATAAAGTGAAAGCAACAAATTAAAAATTAGCCATTACAGCAAAATACAAATACAACGGAGGACAGATACGAGCAGTTGAAAGGAAAAATACACCCGAAACGAACATAAAATTGATAAATGTATCGATAAGAATTAATGCCAAATATCAAAGCGCACGACAGCGGAGACAGAGCCGACAAGTGGCCAGTGTAAAGTGGTGAGGAGAGGGGGGCCAGCGGATGTAGCGAATCACCAGCACATTGGCATGGCCCGTTTTGCCTGGTAAGCTTTTAAACTGTTGTAAATATGCCAAAGTGAAAAGGAAGTGCAAGGAAAATCAAGATTTATGTGCGAAAGGCGGATTAAGCGACGCATTTACACGAGCCGGAAAGACCTTCACAGACACACACATTCTCAAAGTTTGCCATATACAAATATATATATATAGATATATATATGTATATATGTATATACATATATGCATATGCATACGTTTGTAAGTATGTGCGTAATAGCAAATGCGTTGACAGCAAAGCTTGCCAAAGAAGCTTTAAGTAAAAGCCACTTTTACATGCGGATATATTTCTGAATGTGGTGTTTGTGGACTTGTTAATGTGTATCTGTGTATGTTTGTGGTTGAGGTTGTGGCACGCAATGGAATTCAGTGTAAGTGAGCCAAGAACTTCCGAGTCATTAACCCGTTAATGTGTAAACGAGTGCAAGTGACGCGTTAGCGCAGCCACAAAATAACAGGAAAAGAATAATCCACTTGTAGACGTCGTGTGTGATTCGAAAAAAAGTGTAAACTCACAAAAAATACAAACAAATAAAAAAAACTGTGCGACAGATTAATGTTCCAGGAAGGCAAAATATTTTTAAAAATGTTAACAAAAAAATACAACAAATCGATCAAATATGGTTTAAAACGTATTTAATATATTTTAATTGTAATCACACAAGGAATACAGAGAAAACATTTTTAGGTTAATACTGGTTTATGTTGGCTTATCATTTTTATTTTACTTCTTAAAAAATTAAACTGGGGAAAATTCAGCTCGGTTAACATGGAGTTTATTTAATTTATTATAAACATAATTTTAATTGTTGTATCAAAAGCGGTAACCTATTTAGTATTCCAAAATATTTTTAAAATAAGGCCTCATTGAATACTTTCTGAAAAACTTTCTTAAACGTGCTATGTGTGCACATATTTCCAACTGTTTTTTTTTTTCAATTCTATTTTATACGATGTATGGCAACACAATTTTCGAACATTTAAGGAACATTTTGACACAATTTTTTTTTTTTTTTTTTACATGAATTTTACATATTTTTTTTACAAACTATTTTTATGCTGAATACCTACTTATGCCGCACAATGTAAAACGCTTAGTTACAGCGATAAATTGAGCGCACGAAAAGCCTGAGAAATGAGCGAGAAAACTATGCAAAGCAACAGTGTGTAAAAAACTTTATGGGGCCATCAAACCGTATCAACTCAGATGCAAAAGCAAGCGAAGGAAATAAAGATACACTTGGAGAGATATATATATGATGTCATACACATATATAGTTACATATGTACGTAAATTAAAGGAGTAAATGTGCAACATATGCAAAATAACGCCGGCCTTTGGTGTGATAAAGACCGAATAATACACTTTCATGCGAGAAAAGTAATTTGCAGGCAAACGTCTGCTTTACACTTTTACATCAACAAATATACACGACTATATCAACTTTTTTTAGTGTGTGCCAACACTGCGCTGAATGTCCGAACTACGCGCTACTTGTATGGATGTGAAGGCACAGTTCATTGTACGGCACTTCCGGTTAACGCTGTTCACATTGTTAGTTGGGCGCGTGGGTGCAATAAACAGGAAATAAATGCTAGATGTGGCATAAAACTTTATATGTGCAACATAGAAGTCGTAAAAGATGCATAGAGTTGAAACGAAAAGGCAGTGGAATTATTAAAAAGGAGCAAGCATTAGCCATCCCATATGCGGATGCACCGGAAATTGAAGAAACGTGGATGTACATTAACTGAAATTAAATCTTTGAAGAAGAAAGTAAGTAAAACAAAGCTAAAGTGGAATGTCAAAGTAAATTGAAACCGAGTGCATATGGTAAGGAATTTTTTCGAAACTACAACATTAATGTCTTGAAGTTACCTACACGATAAGAACGAAAATACTGACCTTATTTAATGTTAGTGAAGAGAATTTGCCAACAATTATGATTTTCAACCAGAACCATTAGGTCAAAGAAAACTAATAATCTAAACGATACATATTAAATAGAACGAAAGGTTAGACAAATATAAGTAATTAAAGATATGAAAAGTTGGTAAAAGTGGAGGTATTTAAGATATATGTATATGTATATTAAGAGATTTTGTTATTACAAAGTGTTAACACCATTTTTACTCTCTTTACTATGCTTTAGTATAAAAATACCTCGAGTTTAGTCATACGAATGTTCATAATGCCATGTTCTTCAGTTTAGGTTCAGTTCTGTCATTTGTAAAGCTGTTTGAAGAAAGATATATTAACTATGTTTAAAAATATGAATCGAAAGTATAACTCTATCCAACTCTTTGTTTTGTAGTGTAAATATATTCTTGCAACATTCAATAGTTATATGCTCTTATTATTTAAACTCACAATGGGCCTCCTATAGGCCTAGGTGCGTCGTTAGACAGCCACTCTACCTACCTACCTATTTAAACTCATTATTCTTCAAAGATCGCTTTTTTCATTATTTAGAAAGTCAACTTTCTATAGGTGGAGTTAGACTAGGCTAGGTAAGGTTGTAAGTTTCGTCCCTAAGCTGAAATAAACACTTAAAGCGCTAAAAAAAAAATTTATGGAACCTAAGAAAAAATCTCCTTTAGCTGTATTTCAAGTACGGACAAAGTATCTTTGTCTTTGTATCTACCGCCACCCGTAAGCAAGTGTTGTTTCTGTTCACCTCGAAAATTGAAATTGTGGGGTCCTAGGAAACAAAATTGGAATGACTCAAAGTTATTCAAGAGTACTAAATAGTTAGAACTACTTGAAAGTTCTCAGTACCCGATTATACATTACTTTAATACATTCTGTTTAGAGGCGAGATGAATTGAGAAATGGTTAAACGAGTACTGAGTACTTTCAAGAGGGTGGTGTTCTTGTAAGTACAATAATTTGGCTCACATGGCTTACTTTGGTTTCAAACAACATCATTCAAACAAACACAGCTTTTTTTAAAAGCGATAAAGTGATCACAGCAAGCAGATTGACTTGTGCTGGCACCGTGAGAGGTTCGCCTTGGTTCGGAACTAAAGGGATTTATCATTGCTTTGTTGTTAGTTCAGTGGGAGTAAAGCTTTCCGACGAGGTATTTTTGTCCATTACGAGTACTATTTCATTATAATTTCTATTGGTGTTGTTGTTTCTTGGTTCCATTTTGGTTGGGTTTTTTATGCTTATGATTTTCATTTTTCTAATTTAATACTGTGTACGTCGAATACATGCTGAGAAACATTTAACAGTTATGTATTTTGAGTGCTAAGTACTTTAAGTACTTTTGGGTTCATAGGTGCATAGAGTACTTGAGACAATTAAAAAAAACAATAACATAGGAAAAGTTGAGTACTGATCTAACCTTGTGTATTCATACTACTGAACGTGGTGGCAAGGACTACAGCTTCTAATTGTGCAATATTTCTTCTAGGATCTTCCATTTTTTTCCTATAAATTTATATATAACAGCAAATATGTAATATAAAAGCAAAATAATTTTGGCTAATATTTTTTTACGATATTTCTATAAATGATCTTGGCTTAGAGAGAATAAAAGAACAATATATTCTACTTATCTATTATGTAACTGAACGCACACGCCTTTTAAAGCTTCGTCCAAGTTAGTTACGAGTATGGAACGCCATTTACTAAATCAACATCTAGCAAGTATTAAATGCTTCCCTGTGCGGGACTTGCATACAAAGTAGATAAACTGTTGTGTGTTATTGATAATAGCTACATTTTCATAAACACACGCGCACATACACACACAAACCCAAACCTTGAGTGCGAATGTGTATTATTGTAAAAGACAAATAAACTCGCATAAAGTGAGCGAATACAGCCGAATTTCTTTACGGCACAGTTACTGTTATTCCTTCGGTTTGGCAACAAATATCCTACGTGTCTGCTTGGGACAGACACAAAACGCCGTCACGCCCTCGCAGCAGATACCACACATGTAACTATGCATGCACGAGTATGTGTGTGTATGTGTATTCGTGTACCTCTCGTTGTTTTTATTTGCTACACGCAACGGCTGCGGCTAACAACTACATAAACACCAACGCACATACATACACTCACATATACAAGAGTGGCACGGCCGCGTGCGTATAATGTCATGTATTTGGGTCTGTAAACAACTACAAAGGCTGGCGGGGTAGTCTGAAGCAATTGCCTCATAAATTTGCATATGAGTACACAATGCACACACGCATAGAAATGCTACAGACTCTCAAGCTTACAGCTGTAGGCTCAAATAGCCGTATCTGCATGTAAATAGGCAATCGCATGTTCACATGTGTGTATGTATATGTGCGTTTGTCGGTGTTTGCGTAATGCGGTAATGTTGTCGACATCGACATTATCCTTAAATGGTAAACATGCCAACACGACTGATTCTTGTCTGCCCGTCAGCGCCGACAGTCCGCGGCAGTCACCGCTTGGTACCGCCATTGGCTTGAGGTTATTTATGCATGTGTTTATGTGTGTGTACTTGTTATGTACATAGATTTAATATGCGAGCATTTATGTGGTTCAAATGTAATCGATATGAAATGTATCGATAAGCCATTTGCAAGTTTCAATTTTCAAATACTTAAATTTCCATATTACTCAAGGATAACGCGAGAAAAATCTTAATGCGATGGTAACTTTCGAATAATTATGAGAAAATATGACGTTTAGAATATTTGTGGTCTTACCTTGTTTTATCTTCCGTCAGTGAAGAGCTGGAAATAGAGCAAAAAATACATGTATTTAATGAGCTTGAAAAAATACAACTATTGCAAAATAAGGAGATTAACATAAAGATAAAGATAAACGTAAATATAAGGATAAGTATAAGCATAAGTATAAAGATAAGGATAAAGGTAAGGATAAGGATTAAGTTAGGGAAGATGAAGATGAAAATAAAGTTAAGGATATAAATAAAATAATGATAAAAGTAAAGATTGAAAGTGCATTTAGTGCACCTCAAAGACTTCAAGGAGTGAATATGTACCCACAAGATAAGATTATAAGCTTGACTAAATTTTTACAAAGGTATAAGTATCAAAGTAAAGTGTGTTACAAACCCAACTCCAAAATATGAAAACTGGCTAGAGATCGCTTGTTCATGGTTATATACAAATGGCTTGGTTAATTGATTATACTGCTTCGCTATTCGATCTAGAAGCCAATAAAATATTTCGCAGCAACCACATTTTTCCTTTCCCTATGCGTGTCTACAGTGATACTAAAATATGTAAATATATATCCCAAACTATTATATTCCTTAAGCCAACGGTAATGTGTTCATATGCTTATACCTGCGCATATACATATTTATGTCCGCCAGTGTGTGGTATCATTTTCCATGAACTCAATGCAAGCTCCAAATAGGCTTCATCGATTTTATTAATACAATCGCATAATATATGAACTCGCTTGCTTACATCATCATCGGCGCCATCAGCACCAGCACCATCATCATCATATTCAAATTGCCATTCGTTCAACACTTCTATATTTCTTTGAGCATTTTGATTTGAAAGGCTTTTTTGATTTGCCATAAAAACGGATTGAGGCGCTGTGTAAAAGGATAACGACGCCGATGCGTTCAGAAGGATTGCTTACTCGCCATGAAAGGGAAATTCCACCACACATATTTGCATGTGGGCATATATATAAGCTTAAAGCCAGCTATTGTGTAGTCAAGTGAGCGCTCGGTTATTTGTTTGGTGATATTGTTAAAAGCTTGCGGTTGATTGTTTTGTATTTTAATGCCTTCGAACAATACAAGCACAAAAAAAATACACACAGATGTATTGGTGTATAAATATGTGTGTATGTTGTTAGTTGCGAGTTTAGTGCACACTTTTATAAGTGGTTGTTTTGTATTGATTTTTTTGGTTCTTGCTTTTGCCTTCACTTGAGCCATTCGCTACCTCTTGGCGGGACGTGTTTGCGATATCATTGCTTTTGATAGTATTTATTGCACACGCACACGAGCGCACTTGGCTACATCCTTGCATGGCAACGTACATATGTATATGTGTGTATATTTGAATGTTTATGTGTTCGCCGCTTTGGGACAGCCACGGCGTATGCGTTTTTTTAAGCTAATTTGAATTTATCGACAAACCAATTTAACAAGCTAAAATTAAAGGAAATACGCTTACATATTGAGGTCACGCGCATTGAGTATATGCTAATGTGACACTGCAATGTCGGTTAGTCGAAGTGATGAAGTTTGCGCAGGCGTGACAGTTTCGATGATTGCAGCGGTTGAGAGGGGTAAGAGTTATAAGCGCTAATGTAGGGCTGTTTTTTTATTTTTACTGTATTTTTTACTTACATATATGATGATATATATATGAATTTTCAATCACTAACAAGAAAAAATCTTCTTCATAGTGTTTGTTCATTTTTAAATAAAATTTAAAGCAAAAATTAAATGACATCGAAAATGTTGTGTTAAAAGCTTAATTATTCTTGATGTGAAAGACATTTCTTTAATTCTTCTTCATATGAGGTGAGTTGCAATGAAATTAGCCATCAAGAAATGAGGAGAGGTAAGTGAACAGTTTAATTTATTTCAGCTAGTATGAGGAGAATCGTGGTAAGGTTAAGTGAGGTAATGTTGAATCGTAGTAAGTTGTGGTGATTAAATTGAGGTGTAGCCGATCATTTCAAATTTAGTGATGTAAATGTATATCATACAAAAACATTCATAAGCCTTACATAATGTCATATCAACTTTTTAAATTATTATTTAATCATTGAAAAAAATGTAAACATTCTAGCCTTGAACCTTTCATAGAGAATTTTCAGGAACGTTTCCTACCTGTATATAATTTTCTGCCGAGTTTTGCAAGATATCGCCGTCACTTCGAATGTACTTACTATATGTTTATGGCAAAATTTTCTAACTTTTTATATATTCGTAAAAAAACAAGATTGAAAAAGTTAAAATCATCCCAACAAGATATTTTGTTGTATTATTGCATATCGTACATATTACATTTCATTTTTATTGCTTCTTAATCACCAAGATACAAGTTGGCGAAACCATATATAATTTCTCCAAGGTTTAATCCCCAGTGAATTAAGAAATTTGGCACACAATTTTTGGTAAAGCGACTAACGTGTGATAACATTTATACATACATACATATGTGCCACAGCGCTGATAATTTAGTGTCTTGCCGCAGACATTTGACTTTCGCTTCCACCGGCGTAAAGATTTATTATCTTCTGCTTTTCTATTGAACCAAGCATGGCCGGAACTATAAACTTATTGGTGGCTAGCAGAACCTCATTAAGAAAAATTATTTTTATACTCTTGCAACATGTTGCTACACTTGCACTAAACTAGGGTTTTCAAACATCCGGTTGACTTTACGCCTTATTTATTGTTGACGGTAATGGAAGTGCCTTAATGAAACTGAGAGGGCATCTGTTTCTATCAATAATATGTAGTAATGCTAAAAATGGATAAAATCGTGTCAATCTCCCATATATCTAATAAAAGATTTTCAAAGTTCCGGTTGGCCTTATACCGTATATATCGGTCAATATGTAAGATATATTAGCAAAATTAACTAAATTTATAATACTGGATGACTGGTTACATTAGTTTAATAACGAAAATATGTGAAATTATATTATTCTACATACAATAATTTCCATTATTCTAAAAAACCGCTGAACATGATTGGAGTTGGTTTATACCTTGGTCTTAATCTCATATCCATAATATCATCAATTACAATCTTCTAGTTGACGTTTTGCCATCAACGCAATACATTAAATCTAGCCTCTTTCGTTAAGTTTATGTTAGATAAATCTCATTTGAGAATTATTTTGATGCTCGCTGAAGGCAGGTAACATATTGCTAACATATTGAGTTTATGAACTTTAATATAACTAAACTCCACGATTTCGTGGAATAATGAATGTTGAATTCTTTCGCAACATTTTTTAGTATGAAGGTTTGCCAACAACTAAAGGTATTTGCTGGGATTTGATTCTTGAAAGTTGCAAGAGTATGAAATGTTCGATTACCCTTCTTTACTTGTTTTATCTTAATTTATTTGTTATTTGCTTGTATGTACAATTATTTTTCTGTTTTCTCATACATAATTTTTAACGCAAACATCGCATTTTAATCATTTACATTTTTCATTGGAGCTTAGAAGCATTAAGCATTTCAATTTGTGCACATGAATAAAGGCAAATAAATGTTATTTTTTTCATGACAAATCAGAAAATATCAGCCTCTGACGCTTTCAAGTACACATGCATACGTTTTCCTTTAAAAGCTACCTAAAAATAAACCAAAAAACACGACTAACAGCTTAATCAAACGCTTGAATGCATTCCGGCGCCTAAAAACAGACTGAAATACAAAAAAATGTGAAATATTTTTGCATACATAAGGCACCTATATTCTGTTGTAAAAGTAAGTCTACATAAAAAATAAAAACAAAGGTATTTTTCGTTATCAAGAGAATCAATGATAAAAAAAGGAAAACGCGGGCAGACTGACAATTAGCATTGGCAATAAATGCAAAAATTATACTTTCTTTGACGAAATTTCCACACAAACATAAAATTACAAAAATGGTTTTACTTTTTGCCCCAAATTTTTATTTTTTAAAACTTTTGCTATTCGATCAACCCAGTATTTGACCAATATTTTTTTTTACTTATTTTTGGCTTTTATTCAATATTTTCAGACAAAAATTTTGTAGAGTTTCCGAAATTCTATGACGATTTCCACTTGCTGTCTCCATCTATTCAGTGATATGTTGTGGTTTTTTATGTCCGTGCAAAAATGAAAATTTCAGACAACCTACATAGTGACGCGCAAAAATATAAAAGCAAATACTGGAGTAAACGTAACATAGCAAATCTGGCCCATATATGCACAAAGAGTTAGGAGCAGAGTTCATCGATCCTATAAAACTCAGTTTTTACAATGGTGTCAAACTGAACTTAAATATTTCCAAAAGTAGACTCTTAGTCGGAAAGCGATTTATTTTTGCTGTAAATATAGACTTATATCAGAGAATGTATAATAAATAATAAATTTATTAACATTCTCTGTAATAACATTTACAGCATGCAGCTATTTCAAGTATCTATCATCCTAATTTTATTCTGAATACATTCACTTCGTTCTTGTAGAGCTAAGTGCCCTTTTCGTAAGCAGTCGAAATTGTACCTATATAAGTATATAAAATCCATAAAATTATGTAATAGTTTTATAAACAACTTCTACTAACTTGAATCCTAGATCTCTTTTTACTAGTTCATAGAATTATATAAAATTGTCTTATATGACACAAACAAAGAAACTATTATGTCTGCGTAAATATATAGCGTATTTAGATTATTGTTCCAATGTTCCGAACATACGCTGGAAAACTTCTCTCCTTGTGCGTCTTTTTCAGATTATGTCATTAATTCGAAACGTAAGAAACAATATTTTATTGGTTATTCACATACATATGTATGTATGTCGAACTTTGTGCATGAAAAAGTGTTTCTGCTGGAAATTCTTCTTTATAAGTTAAATATGAAGAAACCCCCAGACGAAAGTCATCGCTTTAAACGTTTAAAAGCAGCCGACACATAGCAAAGACATTGAGTGCCATATGAATTGAAGTTAAGAGACGTTGAACGACTCATATCTTATGAAGACCTGGCCAACAGTCCAAATCAACGGCAAAGCCGAATATCCATG